GTTCTTCGTTCAATTTTCGTCTGTATTCTCTACGGTACCTTGGGATGCCTGAGGTGATTTATAAATATGTGTAGAGACCAGGTGTATTGCCAGATGTTTATGTCCCTTTACAACAAGGCTTCACCGTCCCTTCCGATGGAACGCCCGTCTTATATTATTTTTTCTAATAGAGGATCAACTGGACTACAGGGTATTTGTGAGTTTTCCCTGTGTAGGATTTTTTTCTTAACTTACTTTTCTATCATCTTGTTTCTATATTTAAAATAATGCTAAGTCTTTAAACCTCTCTAAGTACTCTTTGAAAAAATCAGAGTTCCTTTCACATAAAAAAAAAAAACCGCAGGCAAATGTCGACGGTTCCAGGTTTAAATCAGTGAAGTTTGACTCACTGCCAAAAAGATTTTTAATCTCAAAGTGTTACCTACACTCACTTTTTTTCTGTTTCACTCCATCTCCTATTTAGAAATAGTAAAAAATTGTTTTATTATAATAGCTGTGTAAACGGTAATTGCAGATAATTCTCCTCAATATAACTGCAGTAAGAAATAACCTGTAGCCCTGAGGGCGAACGAGTCTGAAGAGCCAAAAGGACAAGGTGGTTTGCCCAAGGTCATACAGTCAAATGGTAGAATGGAAAAGAAAATACAACCTGAGTTAATCAGGAGTCAGCACTGTAAATACTAGGTGAGGGGCAGTAAGATTTTGCTCAGTATGTCTTAAAACATAAGGAGGTAAGTTCATGTGGATGAGGAGGAAAGAATAAGTGAACAATGTAGATGTATAAATGTATATGTATAGTGTAATGTATAAACAGTAATGCCCCACGAAATTTTATTTTAGTATTATTTTTAAATTCCAGGTCCTGTAAAAGCCTGTAAGGACCCAAGAAAGTCCATTTGCTAAATGTCCTCTTTAGCAAATAAATTCTTTGAATTTTTTCACATTAAGCAGTCTCATTTTCCCGGAGTTTTGTATCATGAGAATCACTAAAGTGCCTCCCTCAGTAAAGCTGCACTTGTAAAAGTAAGTATTCATAAACTGAGGTCTGACTAACCGACCCCGAGCAGTTGGTGAGATGGCTTATACTAGGAAGCATGAGGCAGGATGCAGTTTACAGATCTAGGACAACATAGTTAATGTAATCATTTCAGGCACATTCACTGACAGTTCAAATATATATAACTGCGTAAGTTATTTCTATGTTTCAGGTTAAAAAAAAACTTTAGAACTCTTTTCAACAGTATTTCCTATTAAAATACTTTCAACATTTATTTTTGCTATTGAAAGAAAAAGCAGCTTAGTAGTTACAGGAAAGATGTTCAAGAAATGACAGGCAGCAGGGAATAGAGTACTGATTTTTCTCAGATGAAGTGATTATTAGCACTGAGGAGACAATCAGGAAACATGAAGAGTCAGCATCTTAGCTGCCGTGTCTTGAAGACAAGGACAAAACCCCATCGAGTTCCAGGTATAATGGAATACGGGACATGATGCCAAGGGAAAAAAAAAACCCTTCGATGTGGAATTGTAACAGCATCTAAGATGGACTGAGACACTATGAGGTTAACAATTAAAAAAGCCCACACCGGGTCTGCATGAGCAATCAGTTCACCGAAGGATAGAAAGAAAAGTGTCTTCTTTTGTCCATATATATTGGTTTTTTTATATATATGTATGTAGTGCTTGAAGCATATGGACACCTAGATGCTGGCTGCTGTGTGACATACATAGCAGTGCTGTCAAATAAATTAGGCACAGCTAGAATTCGGTATGTTTCTTTGTAACGGTTTCATATTACTGAAGGAGACCAAGTACGTGCCTTCAGCTTTTCCATCTAATCAATCGATTTTGGTTATTAATACATAACCGAGTTCTTTTTCTTTAAACTCTGCGTCTCTGTTGGTGAGCCTTGTTTTCTTCAAAATACTTCCCTGTGTTAACCGTTCACCTGAAACTGAAGGGGAGATGGGGAAATACCCAACTCCTTGGATTAGTCTTCTCCTAAGGAAGACCTTAGCTCTTCAAACCTGGCCTCCACTGCCCTATCCTAACCCACCGTTAAGCCGTGGTAGTCTCCAAAGCCGCTGACCTCAATCTGCCCGTGAACCACCGCGAGGTCTGGAGAGCTCCTTTTCCCCTCAGGCACCGTCCTTCCCACCGCTGCGCAGGAGCGGGCAGGCCTGGGCACCTGCACGCCCCAGACGCCGCCGACCGGCTGGCACTGCCCCTTGTAACCTGCCCTGCCGCGGCGGGAAGCACAAAGATTACAAACTGGGACGCAACGCTAGAGGTGGAAACTCTAGCCCAGGGCAGGGCAACCCATTCAAAGAGAGAGGAGCCGAAGCATACTTCCGCCGCACTCTTGTTAGAAATTCACAGCTGGCCCGTGCCGCCGACTGAGGAGAGAGGCTAGGACACAAACTATGGAATTACAAAGGTAGTATTTATTCATGCGCATGAGGTGCCCCAGCCAACCTGGGCACACCCCAGTGATTTTTCTTTAGTGGTTTTATACAAGGGTAGGATATGAATCACCTCATTACCTACTAATGCGTATTTCTAATCATCCGATCATTATGCGGTACAGCAAAGCAACTGTATTTTTGTAGGTCTTGCAGCAGCAGCATCCATCAGCATCCTCGTGGCTTATCTGTTAATCCAGATGTTTCTGCCATCAACTTCTGCAAAGTTATCGGGCATCAGCAACTTGTGTTTCTCTTAGATAGGGCTCCCTCAGCAAATTTTGCGGAAAGTTTCCTTATCTCAGTTGATCACTTGTTCTTCTTAGGAGGAGCAGGTGATGGGTCTTGGGTCTCAAGACAGTAGCGCAGCAATTATACGCTAGTAACGTTCTTGGCTCCTAACGGCTGCGTGGTTTCAGTAATTTACCTCACACTCTCCATCCTGAGCGGCCCTGAGGTAGCGCGGCGAGTAACGCCCAGGCGGCGGGCAGCCTGCGCCGGGCCAGCGGCG